TCATTACAGTAAGTTGAATGCTTTTCATTGGTCGGTTTCAAGTTTCATCGTTTTCTCTTTGAGGTTATTGCCTAGAGATGCACTGCCACCAATTAAAATTGATGAAAAGCCTGAAAGTTTGTAATGTGAATGTTCATTTCAAATTAATTACATTTCAAATCAATCACAAATAAGTAAAATCAACTTTCAATTATATATATTATAGATGTTTTACTACAAAAAAAAACAAAAAAAAAACCTCTAAATTTCTTTCATGAAATTTTAGGATTTTTATTATAAAACTTAAATTATTGAAATTCACTTTTCTTTCCTTAAATGAAGTAATAATGCAAAAACTATAATAATTATTGGGAATTCATATATTGCTGAAGATTTTTCTTTTTCTTGTTTTAATTTTAAAATTTATTGTTATTGCCCATGCTGCTGCCATGAAATCTCCCAATAAGGAATTTTTTCTTGATCGCAATTATATAAATACCATATAAGGCATTAATCAATTGGATTACTGAACCGTATACATTGCAACATCGCTTTCTTTACGACCATGCATTACGATTTGGTGTGAGCATCTAAGGCGCGCTCCATTTATTCATTATTATCTCAAACACATTTCTTTTTTTGTTCATTGATAAAATTGTACTTTTATTTTCTGTGGTGTCTTTTGATTTAATTTTTTCCCCACCCATCTCTGACAATCATTAAAATATAAAGTTTGCTGTTAACAAGGTATATTTTGGTTCGGACAGTTAAACTTTCCTGTATTCTTTTGTATAGGTTCTTAAATTGGCTGGATCGGTAATCAACTTAAGGATTTTTGTAGTAAAATGTATGTAAATTGGTTTAAACTACTCTTTTTCGATCTGTTCCTCATTGGAAGCTAATCATTTATTTGACCCTTCACAATTTTATTTGAATTTTGAGGTATTTTTCTGTCTTCTTGACAGGTAGTACAACTTTAACAAAATGTCAACTTTTGGCAATGTTCCACTTTTCCGAAAGAGTAAATAAAAATGATAAGGACGATGAAGTGAATTAAATTCTATAAAATTCAATTATCAACACAAAGCATCAGACCGTGGTATAACATGTTTTTAACTTCAAACCCTTCAATTTTACCAATTTTTTCCGTAAGGGGAAACGTCTTTTGAGCACATGCAGTCTACAGTTTCCTTTCAGCTAATTTTATTTTATTTTTCTGTCTGTAACACCACTTGGTATGAGGCATTTGTTATTGCATCGGTTATTAACTGCAGATGGCCTGTTTGCTGAGGATACCTTAAAATTCACAGGTACATTCATTCTGTGAAGTATTCCAAAATACTTACTGAAAATGAAAAATGTCATGTATACATTATAAAGAAAGGTCATTATTATTGCATGCCTCTACCTCATAAGTAATTTTTTGTGTTGTCTTTTGATTTGAAATGAATTTTTTTTTTCTTTTTAATGTGCTTATCTGTATCCTAATAACGCAATAATTTGTTAACTTTAAAAAAAAATTAGTATTACGACAGTAATGTTGTTTTTTATTTAGTAGATTTTTGCTTTAACACCAATACAGTACTGTATACTGTTATTGTTTTGTATAACTTTTAGTTTAGTTGTTTTTCTTTCTCATTGAACGCACCAAATTGTTGTGTGCCTCTGAAACAAAAGTGTATGTTCAGTTGAATAAGTAAACAAATAAATAAATAAATATTATAGTGGGAGAATGTGAAGCAGAAGTAGATTACCAGGCTTCCAATAAAAAAATCTGGGGTTCGATTCTAAAGTCGAATGATCTTGTGTTCCTCCCCACCCAGGAGTATGAAAGGTACATACAGTAGTACGTTCAATTTACAATGCGTAGATAACTCATTGAACATTAAATATTGTCCTAGGGAAGTGAGAGTGGCTTTTGTGGATGTTTTGTTCAAGTACAAGTGCAATAGTGTGAAGCACATTATACTGTATGGCCTGGTTACGATTATATAATAGCCGTAAATGTAATTCCTTATTGTTAATGCGCCTTTCAATATCGCGATATTTGTCACAAAGATTAAATTGCGAAAATAAAAGACACAAAGTCACAAAAAATGCATTTTGCTAGCGGCCTCAATGAGTGAAAATGCAGCACAAAATGTGAACACACTTCTATGCGTTTCTAAAATTGAGGGAAAGTCCCGTTTATGAACAGTGACCTTAACTAGAGGTCAAGCTAAATGATTGTAGTGCGATATATGATTGCAAATTGGAAACACTCGCATGACTGTTGATTAATATTTCTTCTTCATTGTAACGTCCACATTTTACGGCGGAATTAGTGTTAAGAGAAATTCATGTTTAAATATTCTAAAGTACTGTCATCTTTAAATAATATGCCTGATGAAACCGACAGTATTGGCCTAAAGGGTAAGCTGGGCTGTTTTAATTTATCGAAATACGGTACTTTTTAAACAAAGTACGATAGTATACTATCCTTCACTTACGGTACCCAAGACACGAGGCTAGGAACAGCTCCCAGCCTTGTAATAGTTCATCGCGAAAATTAGTGGTCACGAAAAAGTTTATAGATGTACAGTCATATAATGATCAAATTCTTTAATCACATCTACTTAAAAAAAAGAAAAGAAAAATCCTTATTACCTACATTTTATTTTAAAAAAAAAATATTTATTACAAGTATTTTGTAATAAAAAAAACTAATATGAAAAGTACAACATGGTAAAAATGCTGGGTTTTTTTTCTAATTTTTTTAATCTGAAATAATTCCTCTTGTCAGCTCTGTTCATGTTGGAATTTTTTAACATAATACAAAAACGATTTGGGGTATTTGGAGATTTATTTGCCTGAGCTTTACCCTGTCTATTTTTTCTTCTCATTGAACAATAAACAGATATCAAAAGGTGGATAGTCCCTGACTGCTTTTAAGTACTCCCTAGACTTTTCGAGGTGATCCCTTTACAAGTTTCTTTTTATGACTGATTAATGATGTGGTCTGGATTGGATGTGATGATCAAAGCAGCTTCGTGACCTAAGCATGATCAAAGTTTCTAGTAGTTGCAGTGACAAATTCTGAAATATAAAATTGACCGATGAACTTCATGTGAAATGGGAAATAAATTGTTATATAGTTACACTTCACAATTGTATACTTTATTCATACTTTAAGTTATACTTCAAGAATGGTGTCAAAATTCAGATGGGGTTTTTTTTGTATAAAACAGGTCATTACACTATATATATATTTTATTGGTCTCCATACATAAAATATAATATACAAAAATTTCTTGTAATACAATATCTACTTAAAATCTTTGTAAATAAAATATCCAACAAAATTATAAGGACATACAGAAAATGTCAGTGGCATGATATATAGTTGTTAAAATATTTTCCGAGGATGATCGTTGTAATGATTCTTTTATACACTTTATGAAAGTTGTATTACCAGATAGGTGGTCTTGCATGTCTACAGGCAAACATGTGCCTGTAGACATTATATTTGCAAATACATCAGTAGGAAAAAGAAATATAATGAACACTTGATTTGTATAAAGACTTTAAACTAAATAATAGTTTGAATGTATATGAAGGCTTGAAAGCATTTACATTGTCATTCCATAGCTATAGAACCAGAACAGAATTCTGTTGTCTGTATTTCGTTATTCAATTTATTACGTCAAATATAACAATAAACAAAAGAAAATTACAAAAGAAATAGTGCAAAAGAATGAAAACCACACAACCAAATTCCACAGGGGAAAATTTAAGCCAAATAAACTCTCTTAATATTTACAGATTAACATTCCATGTAATATACATACGTCATCTTATTAATTAATAAAATATATATAATAATTTTTCGCTGTCAATTTCATTGCTGTTAAAACTTGGGATTTTTTTTTTTTTGTTCTGTTCTGTTCTAGTTTATTGAAAGTTGATAACTGTGAATGGGATTCTTTTAATGGAAACTTTTTTAACAGTTTTTCTCAATTTATTTGGGTTGAGGTAGACTTTTAATATATTTTATATATTAGTTTTATGTTAAATATAATGTATACATTAGTTTCATTTATAAAGTGTTAGGGCTTCCTTGGAATATCACTCCTTGTTGCCCTGAAGAAATCTGAAAGCCAGACTCCAGAATAAAAAGCATTTTTCGATTTATTGTACAACTGATTTTTTTAAGACACGAAAGTGGTGTTTGACGAAAAACTGGGACGGTTAAAAAGCTATAGATTTTGTGAGTATTTGAGAACTAGGGGGTAAAGTTGAAAAAATTGGATTTTTTTCGTCAGGCATATCAAAAAATGTTTTTTGGCTAGAGCCTGACTTTAATCTAAATATAAGCATTAGTTATGTTAGGTATTATAAGTCAGTTTTCTGTAGTTAATATGAAATTCCTGGTTATTCTAAACATTACCAATATAGGAAGTTTACCTAAGATAAAATCATGTATGATTAACAGGAACAGTGCGTTTTCCCCTCGGAATCTACCACTGGATAACTACGGCTAACATTTGATAAACTGCCTGGACATATTATTTTTTTACACTTGAGAAACAATACAAAGCTGGCCATGGAAATTTCATGAGCAGTTGTGCAATCAGCACCATTTTCCCGGGGGAAGTCCCAGCTCTGCTTATAATTCAACCCAGATAAACTTAGTTTCACCGTATTAGGAATCGTATCCTATGAGGTACCCATTTACACTCACGGGTGACGAGTGACATTGACTTTCCCACGGATACAAACTGTAGTGTTCTGGTGTCATAAGGATGCAAGTTAGTTAACTAAAGCAAATGCTGAGAGACTAGCTATAGCCATCTCATTATGTTGATTTCAAGAACTGTACTTATTTTTCACATACAGTACTTAGCAGAGGCCTAGATACTTGGTGTCATTTGCTTCATGGGATCATTCTTTACATTATTCAGCAGAGCGACTTTTAATTTAAATTTAGTGTTGTGCGTGTATAGATGTTTAATTGCCATGTTTTTAATATTTTTTTTTTATAGATAATGCGCGTTGTCTCTGAGAAGCTTGAAGCAGAAAATTCATGGCTGGAAGAAAAAAAGCAGGTAATCCTGAAGATATAACATTTAGTTTACAAATCGTAACCTAAATTTAGATTCTATAATTAACTATACATTATGCTAGTGATCGTTTATACATAAATTAAGGGAAAATTCACCATACATTGGTTTTTTTTAAAGGAGCCAATACAAAATAGCTTTGGCTAGTATAGCATTTGTGATAAAACTGGCAGTATGATTAGTGTAAGTACAGGTAGGGAGGGGTGGCTCAGCCCTTTGGAAATCTATATGCCTACTATTCATATAAGTTCACTGTGATGTCATCCTTGGATGTCACTGTTTGACTCTCACAAAATGTGCATTAATTATCCATTAGTGCACAGTGTTATTGCACAGTTTGACAACTACAGTATTCATTTGTTTCTGGTTTACATTGTGGTACATCGACATAACACGAGCTGTAGCAGGAAAGGCAACAGCTTTTCTGCTGTCATCTATTCATTAACAATTAAAGATGATTGCAAAAAAATGTATGAAAATTAAAATAATTCGTTTTGAATTCGTTTTGAATTCTATGATGTAATTCAACGTAAAGACCATATCTCCAAACTGATTAAAACCTTGACTATCTACCATACAATTACTCAGAGTATTACCACTAGATTGCAATCTTACTTTAAAACTATAAATTGATTTTCTACGAAGTGAAACTGATAATAATTAGTAATTAGTATAGATCTATATAAGGTCAATGTTGACTACATATTCTTGAACGAATTAAATATAAACTTGTTAGAGGATGCTTCTAAATCACTTCTGAATCGCTCATATAAAATACAAATTGTCTTTAACATTGCCTTTGCTGTAATCTTCATTCATCATCTCGGAATACATTGACTGTACAAACGACACACTATCGGGCGATGTGGATAACGGATCTTCTCCGTATCCTGCCTATTGGGCTGGAACACTTCCGTTTCCTGTATTAGGCACACTACATCACTTCAAATAAACTGCTGAAGAAGTACTTTTTAAAAAGAAATCATCATATATGTTGTGATCTTTTCATCTTTTCAAACACAAACACAAACCTGTTAGGTGTGTTATTGTTGACCTTAAAGATACAGGAATGAGAACTTTGAAATCTATAAAGAAAATGAAGTAGCTTATGGTGCTTGCTGAAGACAATGCTTAAAATTAAGGACTGATTGCAATTGCAGAATGTTTTAACTACTGCAGTGGCAAAACACCATACACTACATTTCATCTTGTCAAGTTCTACAGCACTTTTTAACATCACTTGTAAATACTGTTCTTATAGGGCTTGCACCTTAAAATGCATGAGAATGGTGTGGTGGTGCATTTTTTAACATAACTGCCTCGCACCATTCTACCACAGAATGATTTTCTATCCAATGACAAGCCTTTAAAGAAAAAAAATAATTTATTGTATTTAATAAATGCTTACTGCACTATCCTAAATAAAGATGTAAAACATTTGTGGTTGTTTGTTTGCTAAATGATAAATGTCCCATATTCATTAATGAACCTACTGTAGGGGGAAGGTGCTGTTAGGAGCCCATAGTACTAAACTCTCGACATTGTGTGGTTGGGTGACCAGTTCCTCTCCATGCTGCAATAATTATATACTTCCCCAGCAAATTCAACCAGGTAACCAATTATACTCCTGGGTGGAGTGAGACAAATGTAGGTAAGATGGCTTGTCCAAGGGTACAAGCAAAATGTACAGGGAGGGTTCGAGCCCCAACTCAAGGTTGAGAAACCAAACAGCAACCGCTTCACCAAACACTCACCGCTGCACCAAACACTCAAACTCACTTTTTGTGGAAAGGTGGCCAGTTGCTTTCCACTTTTCCGTTTATTACACAAAGAGTTTTAAATGTGTGAAACAAACATAGGTAAAGTGCCTTATCCAAGGACACAAGCGAAATGTGCCTCAAGGATTTGAATCCTTGAGGTTGAGAAACTGAAGTGTACTTGCTGCGCCAACCACTACCACCATCTTGTTCTTAGAATTTAGAGAATCCATCCAGAAAATAAAGAATCCATTTTGTTTTGCTTCTGTCTAAATGCATGTAATTAAATTGTCACTTCTAACAAGGTCAGTCTTACAAAGGATATTTAGGATTAGTGTTTTATAATGTAGGAAACCTTATTAACAGTTCTGCTTCGGCCCCTTTGGTTTTGTACCAATTGTCCCAACAAATGCTTTGATTAATACATCATTGTTTCTGCTATAAGAATCACACCTAATAACTGTGAGAAAATGTTAAAGTGAAGGCTACTGTAGACCACCGATATTGGTGTAACACTTGAACAGGCCACAGGGTAGGGATCAAGTTAATTCCTGTAAGAAGTACTCACTGTAGGTTCACATTCATGTTATGAAAACACTGGCCTGGAATTTCTTCTTGTGATCAAAATGTGTATTTTATTACTTTGATGTGAGTTTGGATCAGGAAAATATCATAGGAGTGATGATTGCCCTACCTGACGTATTATCGTACCAAATACTCAATACATCCCCAAATTCTTGTGAAACAATTTCGCATTATTTATTTTTACAATATGTGAAAAATACATATATTATATACTACAACATTTAAATACTAGATAATGTCAAATTAAGATTTCTTTTTTGCATGGCAACATAAATATGTATAAATATAGATATAAAGACATTGTCTATTTTTAGCTAAATAAAACTTGAATTGAATATTAAAAAATCCAGTATTTTAATTATTTAATTTGTATAATTAAGTATATGAAGAAAATTAGAATAAATAAATTTAGCTTAAATAAATCTAGATAGACAAATAAATAGTATGTTTTATTCGTTGTATAGACTTTTAAAATGGCTTGTAAATTGAACTTAGGATTGTTGTAGTTAAATGAAGGTAATTCAGCGAAAATTGAATTATTGCTGTTTAATTTAAAATTTGTTTCTTAATGGAAGTTGATATAAACTTACTTTATCCATTTTAATTAAACCATTATATTTTTTAATTGAATTTTGAAGGTTTTAAAGATTATTTTCCACACATATTTTTAAATCTGTAACCTTCGTGTATTACAAACTGGAAAAATAAGTGAGTCTATAAGAAATTGTTTATCACTGCATTTGTTTCAAAACTCATTAGGCGTCTATTATCACGTTTCCAAGGGCAAATCCATTTGTCTTCCTTCCATTGTTCTTTATAATTCCTCTTATTTTCTTAACTCATCAGTAATCTTAGATCGCTGGATCATTGCTTCTCTCCCGCAGTTTATTGTTTTCTCGTTTTTTTGGTTTTGTTTTTCCTTTTCAAAAGGCTTTCAGCTACAGTAGTATAATTTACCCAAGCTGGATGGAATAGATGCATTAGATATAGTTGTTAGGGTTTCCAAGGCTGCGGCTCTCATAATCTCTCTAATTGTTCCGTTTTTTTGTTAATTGACTGCCTTGATTTACTTAATGATCTAGGCTGGTGCTAATTAGCTTCTGTCACAGATTTAAAAGCTGTGTTGGCTGCTTTTGTCTGCCTCTCTTTCATACTGAAAGGTGTTGATTTCGGTCTTGATCACATCTGCAATACTAGTGAATACTGACAGTCTTTTTTTTGTTCAATGTCTTTAAAGTGTGTTTAATGTGATTAGAGAATTAAAGCTGTGAACTTTAATAAAAGGTAAATTGTATTTATCCATATTTATAATGGAATTAAAAGGAATAAGCCAGGCTCTAAGAAGCAGACGTTATCCATCCTCACTGCATATTCAGTTGATATAGGATCTGTGAACTGTGGTTGATATCTGGTAGAATATGCTGCCCTCTAAGAGAAACTGAGTCATCATCTTTCACTATTTGTCTCTTTAATACTAAAAAGTGGTCTATCAAAGTTCTGTTACATTTTCCAGCTCATCTGTTAATATCTACTATTGTTAAGTAACTATAATTTCTGATTTAATTTTTACTGTTGTCCAAATGATACAAAAAAAATCATAATTTTCTTAACTGCATTTTAAAAAGTTTTGGGGCGTACCACATTTTTTTATTTTACTAAATTCAGGTCCTGGATGGTTTCAAATTACAGGAGAGAGCCCCTAAAAATGTTTACCCACATAGCCCTCTTATATACAGTGGCTAAAGGTTTAATTTCCTAGAGCACAGCACAACCTGTTATCCCATAACATTTGCTACTTGTCAAGCTTGGGATGCCAGGCCAACAATGATCATCTCAGTAATTCTTCAATTCAATATTCCTCTACTTATCATCCTTTGATACCAAACACATTTAACAGCCATAATAAACTATTAACGTGCGCATACAGCAGGTGAACACATGACGCAATAATGTGCCTCAACCTGAGAATCATCTCTAATTCTGAATTTAGGAAACAGCGCAGCCCATGAATAGTGTCGCAAATGAACGTTGTAACATAAGGATGTTGTTAATTTTAGGTCATGAAATTATTATTGGTGAAGATTGAAAAGGAAGAACAGACAAGAGGACAAATAGAATGTGCCAATTTGCACAAGTTTTTCATGTATTACTGGCGTGAGACATGTCCCAGGTGGTAGCCCACACAGGTGTGCAGGACTACCAGGGTTGAAATTAAATCCCGGTCGGCCCCTGTTGAGTGGACGTCCACGGCAAACGGAGTTCACACGGCGATTGTCGTAGATTCTATCCCACTGTATGTGTGCCAGCACGTATTAGAGCTTGATAATGACAAACATTATGAATTGTTTTTCATGTTGCAAACTTGGATTTGACCCAAGCTTCCACAGGTGCCTTCTGACAGCCACTGTCAGCTGTCATAGGTGAGCTAAGGCACATCTTACTGTCATTTTCCTGTTGCCGTGGTACGACTAATTATATAATTAGCAAAGTATACTGATGACATCAGCTTGCTGGTCTCGATGCACTCATCCTCATGTTTCGGCAATTGAAGCGGACATGTTTTTCACTTTGTACTTAGAAGCTCCATTCCTGTTAAAAATTACCATGAATTGCTTTTAAAGATCTGTCTCGAAGTACAATCAA